GGTGCGGGGCATGGCGTGCGTGGGGCATGGCGTGCGTGGGGCGAGCTGTGTGGGAGGGCCAGCGTAGGCAGCGTGTGTAAGGCGTGATGCGTGTGGGGATTTTGGAGCAGCGTGCGGAGGCTGGCAGAGAGGAAGGTGTAAAAATGAAGGGAGTTTTGTGGGATTTTTGGAGCAGGTGTCTTGGGGGTCCACAAACCCTCTGTGAGCTTGGAAATGAGCGACCGCCTTCTGTGCGCCCTGCCCTGTCTGCCGCCCAGCTTGTCCGCAGGCTGGGTCGCCTGGCTGTGCTTCCCCTCCCTGCCCTCATCCTGCTGGGAAGGCAGTGAAGCCCCAGGCCAGGAGCTTCTCGGCCCAGGGCACTAGCAGAGGGATCATCGTGTCCCCAGATAGTGTCCCTGCTGGAGAGCACAGAGCAGCAGCGGCTGGGGCGCGGCTGCTGCTGCCCATTCTGGGCCTAACATGCGACGGGCACAGCCTCAGCGAGGTCAGAAAGCAGCAAGGGGAGCAGTGGGCAGTGCCATTAACACCCGGCTTCCCAAGGAGGCTGGGTTCGTTGCTCTCCGTACAAGGCAGAGATGGGGCTTTCTGAGGGCAGAAAGCGACACTATCTGCATGAAATACAAAACTGAGCCAGGCAGTGGCAGACTGCCAGAGCTCTTCCTCCTGTGCCACGCAGGTCATAGGTTGTGGCAGTCCTGTTAACTGCACAGAAGTTTGGATACTTTTATCCAAAAAAGTTGGTTTAAAGCAGACAAACCCAGTCACAGTTATTTTTTCTCAAAAAGTAGTTTTAAAACTTTTTTTTTCCTTTTCCTCTTCCTCAAGGAAAAAGTTCTTCTAAGATATGAACAGTCATTTCTTCTACTTAAAGCAGTGTTTGCATTTCTGAAAGCTCTTCAGCTATGTATCCTGTTTTGGTTATGAGAGGGAAATTACTTCCCAAAGCCACGTTGTACTGTGTGAACCTACCTGTTGGGGCCTGGTCTACCAGGAGTACCCAAGCACGTATGTTTAAAAAAACGCAGATGGAGAGCGCAACTCTGAACTGCCTACGAGCACTACGCTTATTGCACAGAGGCGCTTTGTGTAACATGAAATGGCACAAGAGAATTAAGAAATTCTCCCTGTTAAGCTGTTTACAGCTGTGCGTGTGGTAGCACCCGCCATAATTACTCCACCACCGAGAGACTGCTACCCAACCCTCCCTTCTAATAGCTGTTTTTATTCTTCTAATAGAACTGTTTCTCCTTCTAAATTGCCCCTGCTCGATTATTTGACAGTTCTGGGCTAGTCCTAGGCTGGTGCAGGCCCAGCCCCTGCTTTGCTGGCAGGCAGGGTATGTGGGTACAGTCTGATCACCCATGGGAGCAGGCAGCGGGCACGGCCAGCTGCCTCCCCGACTTACTCAGTTATATGCAGCATGAATGGAGGTTTTCCATCTATGAGCTTCCTGCTTGGAGTTTTACATTCCTGTTTCTCATTTTCTTTGTATTGGGATAAGTTAGCATTTGCCCTGTTGTATCCACATTTCCATTTATTTAGGGCTTTGTGAGTATGTAGCAAAAGCTTAAAGACTTCACAGTGATTAATGCAGAGGAAAAAAAATGCCTTTTTGGAAGTAAACACGCTGGCTTAGGTAGGTGGGCAAGGCAAACGATCAGGAATGTGCATCCTCAAGTGCAAGAAATACATTAATGTATGCCCTTCAAAATCCCGTATTTGAGGACAAGCGCTGTCATCCATCCTACAGGAAAAACATCTTTGAAAAGATTTGTACTTACTCTACCTCTTCACCATTGCAAATATCTACAGTCAGATCCACACTTACTTACTAGATTTCTTCTTGGCATGCAACTCTTAGCAGATACTTCTGCAGATTTTTTCCCCCCATATGTAAAATGAGCTTTTTTCCTCAAGTGACAACGGAAAAGTCAGTTCTGTTCCTCCCTGCCAAGTCTGCTTTGCTGCTGAAGTCTCAGCTTCTGTATTTCAGTTGTGTTCCTATCTCTGGAGTCTGCAAATGTTGCAGCAGATCTGATGGGTACCAGGTTCACGATGGTGTTTTCCTCAGTTACAGCCTATTGCCCACTTTTGACCATGTGGAACTCCCAAGACACATGAGCTTTGAATCCAGCAGGCAGATATTCGAGATACTACTCTAGGATGTTAGCATATAACAGCAGAGAGCATGGACGAGTTTTGTCGAGGTTATTGTAGCCTAAGATCTTTTTAACAGGTTGTCAGAAGCAGAAGGTAGGAATGCATAGGTTAATGTTGTATAATAAAATACTCCTTTTTAACAGCTGTGAACACTAACTCATCTAATGTTTACAGCAACAAACACCAGTAGTATCTGAAAATAAGTACACATGCAAAACAAATGTCAGATCTCGTTCTGATTCTGCTAATCTGTCTTTCCACCCTACTCAAACATTTGCTGAGGCCTGTAGAAGTATATGTCAATTGGTGTTAGCAAAACACTCTTAACCGGGTTCCATTCACAGATTCAGATTCAGTCAGCTGTAAAAAGAACCCCTGCTGGGAGGGGGCTGTGGGTTTGTTTGTTTCTGACATGTCAGATGGCCCCTATGTTGGATGTATCCTGTCACGGGAACTAAGAAATGGATCTCTCATGGACCAGAGAAGCTGAGGACCTCAATTCAGTTCATATAGCATATAACAGATGAATCATCTTTTTTATTTTTGTGGCCATTTCTTGTTCTGCAAAGGGTGCATGGTGACCTTTTGCTATCTATATTTAGAAAGTTGAGATGTATAGATATGGAAACTATTAAAGTTTTAAACATTTATGTAGTTAGACAAGTTTGGTTCCTCCACAAATCATTGGTATTTTGAAGATAATTTTACTAGGCAATGCCTCTTGATACTGTCGGAAAGGCCCCAGAGCAAGTTTAATCAGCAGTCGGCATTAGCTCTGTGCCTGTTGCTAGCTCCAAAGGGGATGTGAAGCAACGCCGAGTGAGTCAGCACTGTTGCTCCAGCCTGCCTTATACCCTCTCCTATCAGCACATACAGTATAACAGGCTCTATTATTTTCATTAATGATCTGGGCTGGGTCTCATCATTATATTATCATATAATATCTCAGCATTTTAGACTTCCTACCCAAATCATTTATTCCCCCCATGTCTCATTTGTCGTCGATTTGTCGATGATGGTACCTTTTCACACCATTCTGCTTGCTTTTGTAGATTTTAATATGTCATCAGTAAGCTCTTGCAAGATAAAGTCTTTCTTTTACAGTGAATATAGTTTCCTGGCACACTGACATTTTTACTTAAGAAGCTGTCGATAGAAGCTGGATAAAAATAAGGAATGTTAAGAAGAAAATGGGTGAAAGTGAAGGTGAAACTGACTTCATAGTGAAAATTATCAACGTTGTAAAGCAGTATTTTGGAAAAAACTTATTCAAATGGGATTGAGGTTATTTAAAATATTAATGTACTTTAGAAAAGCAAGTAATTAGAAATATTGTGGATGCAGATCTTAGGCTGTAACTTAGGTGTCAAGGGGACTTTCTCTGCAATGCTCTCTTCCTAGTTTTCATTGTTAAGCTACTCAAGTTGCTTGCTGGTCACCGTCCACGCAGTTCTAGTCATTATTATGTTTGGCATTAGAAAACAGCATGTGCCCTCAGGATTTAAAAAGCCCTGGCATTTGCATGAGACAAAGCAAGGACAAAACCAGAGGAGGCAGTATGGAAAGTGGGCTTGTTGTGCATGGTATTCTTCAATGGATGCTCAGTAAATAACAAAATGGGATCAAACCTTTAGACCTGTAGTTATCTATAGAGCTATGTGATCTTCCAAAGTGACCAGCGTATAGAGGGGTTAGCATTTTATATTCTATATATTCTTTATATATATTTATATTCTACATATTATATAGAATACATTATGTCCACAAAGCAGAATGATTTTGCAGAACGCTTTCATACGCCCACAGTCATCTTTACAAGCATAGTTATAACAGTATTCTCTAGTTTTTACATTTCAGAAGACTGTAATATATGTGTATATATATATATAGGCTGATGCTGTAATGCTGCGAAGCCTCAGGCTTATGTCTTTAGGGAACGTTAGGTTTTAGTCTTATTTGTAGGGCTGCACAGATGATTCAGGCTTTCCTATTTCATAAAATTTTTAAGACTTGAAAGCTGCTCTCAAATCATTTTTGGATGAATTGGAGGTTTTCTAAATTTCAGAGATTCATGCTGCAGAATAACTTGATGGCATGTTAATAGCTTGGCAGCAGATGGGAGTGGGAAACAGTTCCAAATATCTCTTGTGAGCTGAGTAAAACTCACCGAGCTTGGGACTTGCAATGGGGTTGAACACTCTGACCATCACTGTGCAGTTGTTACTGACCCAGGCCCCTTTCTTTCTTTCTGACCCAAGCATGACAAATCTTTCCACATAATAGTTTTGTCAAAACTCGTATATTTTGTAGGTTGAAAATGGCATTTTCCATTTTTAAAATGTTTTGTTGAAGAGATCTTGACCAGCCCTATTCCTGAGACTATATAGCAATTTTCAGAGCAAACCAAGCTGAAAGAATCAGAACAGCTTAATGCTGAACCTGTTTCCGGTACTATCTGAAATGGGAAGCTATTTCTTGAAAATTGTCACACATCTGTGGATCAAAGTAAGTTTCTACCGGCATAAAGTCAGCGCTATGGCCCACTGTTGAGAATAGCTGTGTTAAGCAGTGAGAAATGAATCTTCCGCTGATGCTTGATACTGTATTTCCCCCTTGGATTGAAAGAAAAATGCTTTCATGGGAGTTAAAGAGGACATGGTGCTTATCTCCAGCTTTTGTACCTCTGCTAGTACTGGAGACTCTTAACATAATCTGACACAAGTTGTCTGGGATACCAGAGTGAGGCTCTTGGGGAGTAACGGAGATTCTAATGATTATTTTAGCACAGTCATCTAATAAAATCAGCTATGTGGTTCCTTATTTTAAGAGAGAGATCACTTAGAAAGATGATTTAATTTGACTCTCTAGCCAGAGAGTGTGTGAAGGAAGAAAAAAATTTAGGAGAAAGCTAGTTGGCTTAGCCTGCTTCACTTAAAGAATCTGGTACAGCATGTCATGTGTATGTGCCAATTTAGGCAATCAGTGCATAGTTGAACAGCTGCTCCTGCTATAGATATAGATTTGTTCCCCTCTTATTTGTGTTGTATGTTTTCTGGAACTAACGGACTCTGCACACTACTACTCACGGTTTCCTTCCCAAGAAAGGGAAGCAGCCCCATATAAAAACTGCTTTTAATGAGCAGGTTGGTTCAGTTTGGTTTTTGACTATAACATAGAAGAACAGAGATATGTTAATGTAATATGCACCCTTTTAATTTTATCAGGAGTCTTTCTAAGCCACCTTTTTAAAATGACTGATAATCAGATCTAAATTGGGCTCAAACTTAAAGATGGAGCTCTGGTCTTACCCCAGCTAGTTTGTCCTTCACTGGTGTATTCTTGCTTGCTGTGACACCAGTTATTCCAAGATTGTGCCACCATGCAGAAAGTAAAAATCAATTATGCCAAGGAGGGAGTATGTCCAAACATCAGCAATTTGGTGCCCAGGGGAAGAAAATCTGCATGTCTGCTGATGTCAATCTTCTTGATACAGTATTTTTGTAAGTGCACGTGGGTTGCTATTTTTTTTTTAAGCAACTCAACAAAAAAGAAGTTTATTT